ACGTCATTCAACTGGCTGTCAGAGTGGAGTGCAGTCATTTCTCAAACACAGCCTTTTTCTCTGCTGCCACCAGCCGTTTCTTCTCAGACACAAGTTGGGTAGCAGTCTCTCACGTTCTCTGCTGCAGAGTACTCCTACCTCGCTCTCTGAGGGTTCCACTGAAACCACCTCTCTAGACGTGAGGGAGGGAGGAAGTACGCCCATCTTGGATCGGCATTCAGAGAGAAACACGTGAAGGGCTGAAGAGCAGAAGTTAAAGGTCACAGCTGACATTCCTCGGCTTCAACTTCTGCCCAAACTTCCTTCTCCATCTAAAGAGAGGTCTCCTGAGAATGTCTTCCTTCCACCAGGTCTAGATTCTCAATATCTTCTTGTCTCTTTTTTCTTGGGGAGCAAAAGTGAGAGTGATAGAAGATCAAAGAAGGAACAAGTTTCCATCACTGTTTTCAGACAGATGGGTGAAGGCCAGGGTAGGATCAGGGCAAGAGATTACACAATCCCCTGAGCAAAGCTTCCCTCTTGGTGACTTGGGACTAAAACTCCAAGGAGGAGAAGGGTGAGACCTTGCTCCCTCCACTGGCAAATCTCAAGGCTCTCGTCTTGGCCCTGAAGCGGTGTATGCTGAGAACAGTTCCCTTTTTGCCTCAGCCCTGGATATTTGGGGAGGGACTTGTCTGCCTTGACTCGTGACGTGTCCCACACATACTGCACTCAGTGGTGAGGAGCAAGGACCAGGCCCCTGTGAGGACTAGGGAGCTGGCCTTGGGAGGTTGATACAGAAAGTGGTGGTTCAGCACCTGTATATCACGGTGGATAAGACTCGAGTCCTGTGCCCTTTATTCCTTATTCCTGAACTGTTCCACCTCCTCTCCCGAAGCTTCTTCCTTCTGAAATGCCTTGACACTTCAACTCTAATATACCCAGAAGCTGCCCTATAATCTTGATGTCAGTGAGTCACAAAGTAGCATGGTTCAGTGGACAGAGCACTGGGCTCTGGATTCAAATCCTGTTATCCTGGATGGTCAGCTAAATTCTTTGAATCTTCTTCATTAAGTGGAAATAAACAGCTCTTATCTCTTCGGGCTCTGATGACAGTCAATGAGGTGATGCATGGAAAACACCCACCCAGGGGCCTCAACTGCCGTTACTTGTGGATGGTGGCCCTACAGCCCCAGCTAGAGCGTTAGGGAGGATTTTCAACCGCCCTGGAACTGCCACAGAGGTCACAGTGTGGGCCTCCCACTTATCTATCTGATTGGGAGACGAAGAGGGAGCATGCTCAGGGGCCCGTTTACTCTGGTCAGCTGTGGTGGCCTCAGGGCAGGCTCTAGCCCCAGGGGAGGCCTGTGACTGGGTAAGCAAATTGTTTTGAATTCAAAGGTGGAATGTTAGGAAGCTTTCCCCACCCCTGAAGGTCTAAAAGCCATCTTACAATCAGCTTCCTTAGTAATGAAATGGATATTTTCACCTCCATCAGTCTTTCTTCTACGTCTTATTTTTAATTGATTCCAGATTCTATAAGGTAAGAAAGGGATGCTATCTACTGACTCCCTAAGACTCCAATGAAGTGAAGAATGTAAAACTGCAACCTGAGCACCAAGGTGCAGATCCCAGAGCCCCTTTGGATGCCACGTAACCTGAGCCAAATGAGAAGGCTTAACTCTGCTTCCTGGCAGCATAATTCATGCTCCACTCACAGGTCATATTTAGATAGTACCTGCGCAGGATGATTTATTCTGCTAATACGACAACCAATGACATCAGGCTGAAGCCAATAATTAAATAATACACCCCTGGTGGACCTGAAAGTCTGCTGCCCCGCTCCAGGAAAGAGATGGGAGATTTATTCTTGAAAGAATTAAGCCGAAGGAGCCATGGTAATAAGGATGGTGGAGGAAATGAGGTGCCAAAAAAAAACATTAGACGGAGGTAAAATTTTGTACTTTGAACAGGGTCGTATCAGTTACCTAGTACTGTGTAACAAACAACCTCAAAACTTTGTGCCCTAAAAACCATCACCATTTTATTTGCTCACAGTATAGGTCAGCAATTTGGGCTGGACTCTTTTGGGCTGTGAGCATAAAATAAATTTACACACACATGTGGAATCAAAAATTTTATTTCTGGGCCGGCTCTGTGGCCGAGTGGTTAAGTTCGCGTGCTCCACAGCGGCGGCCCAGGGTTCAGATCCTGGGCGCGGACATGAAACAGCTCGTCAGGCCACGTTGAAGTGGCGTCCCACATCCCACAACTAGAAGGACCTGCAACTAAGATATACAACTGTGCACAGGGGTGGGGTTTGGGGAGAGAAAGCAGAAAAAAAAATTTTATTTCGTTTGTACTCTTTCTTGGGTAATCCAAGCAGACTAGAGAATAAAGAAATAAAATATAAACTCCAGAAAACAGGGTATCCATCGTAGGAGCTTGGCAAAGCCTAAGATGAAGCTGCTTGAAAGATGGACAGAACTAGTCCATACTGAGTCCAGAGGATGAAGTTTTAAAAAGAAGAGAAAATGAAAGAAAAGAAAGAAACCAGAAGGTTATCAGACAGTTTGGAGCAATTGGGAAAAAGAAATATTTATAGGTATTTAACAGCACTGATGAAAACAATGAAAGAAAATAATGTTGGTCCACTATTTAGTTCTGCAATTTATCTCAATTGTGTGAACCTAGTAATGTAAATGTTGACTGCTGGTTGAGAAAATGGGTGGCAGTGGGGGGATGGTGTGAGAGCTAAACCTCATTTACTGAAAAACAGGTGAAGAGATGCATAAGAAAAAGCCATTATCATCACATGATGCTTATGGAGCAAAATACCAGAAGAAAGCACTTAAGGAGTTGGAAAGGGTTGCTTCTGAGGAACCAGACAGGAGTGTGGGGAGAGATGGGCAAATGACAACATCAACTGCTGTAAACTCTCTACGACTATTGGATTTTGAACCTTGACAAAAAGAGCGTAAAAACCTTTTTAAAACAACGCCCATCTCTGTGTCCTAGGTTGGGACTAGAACGTACGTCTGTCATTGAAGGACAGCACAACAGTTTCCAAAATGCTAGAGGTCTTTGCCTCCTGTCCCCAGGCTGCATCCTAGCTCAGTCCTCCGACTGACCCTGGATCCATTTGGAAATGAGTCGTATGACACTCGTCCAGCAATTCCTAATAATGAATCCAAGGCCAGTTCTGGCCTCTCTGGCTTGGGCTGATGGCAGCTTTTTGGTTTGCCATTTCTCTTTGGAAATACTCAGAGAAAGAAACATGTAAACAAGTGTGGGAAGTGTATCTCACACAAATGCTATGCATGTTGGTCCCCTATACTATGACTATATGCCAAGCACTTACAGTAAACCAACCCTGGGCTAAATATTTACACACGTTGCCCCATTTTGATAATCATAGGAAGCCGCATGCTAATGTCTCATGTTCCAGGTGAGGAAATTAGCATTGGGAAAGCTTGGCAGTAAACGACAGAGCCGGCAGTGGAACCCAGCTCTCTGCGTGACCCCAACCCTGAGTTCAGCATCACACCGCAGTGCTGACTCAGCCCTCTGCATGTGCTTTGGTTGTCCTAGAGAGGTGCTGTCAATTTACAGTCCTTCTGCACACGTTTATTAATTTAAATCAGCTCTTCTTTAACACTTTGTTTTGACCAGCATGGGGTGGTGGGCAGGGCTGACTTCTTGCGCATGCAGCTACACAGGACCCCGTACTCAGAAGGGCCTCATCCTTGGCTGAAATGCTCTGCTACTAGGGTCTTGAAATTCATAGTTTTATCTTTTAACTTAGTTATGTAAGTGAAGTCTGATGGGACAATGGAGCATGCATGTGAGCAGAGAATGGACAATATATGTGCCCAGTTCCTTGCCACACCAGTCACATAGAGCAATTGCAAGGCTCCACGAGTACAGAATTCAGGAGACCTACAAGCGGGAGTGTAGCAAGACTCAAAGCCAAGTACAAGGTAAGTGTGTTTTGTCTGCAACTGACAAAGAAGCTACGCTTTCCATTCAAACCAGAACTTCCTTGGAGCGCAACAAAACTAATGACTAACGAACCCTATCACATCCTTTTCTCATGAGTGTTACTTCCCTGTGTTAGCCAGCCACTTAGGCCAAAAATGACGACATGGAAGGAAAGGGCAGCCCACAGTCCTTCCTCCTCGCACAGCTTCCTTACTCATCAGTAAGGCAGAGAATATTGGTAGAACATGCGCATATCCAGAAGAGAAATAGAAATAACGGAGGTAGCTTTGTGCAGTGTTTCAGCTGTTCTGGGAGGAATGAAATACACGTATGAACTACAAAATAGGAGTTGTATAATTTCAGTGATTCCACGTACAAGTTAGAAGCTCTTATGTTTGAATTTTAAACTGGCCCTACACAATCTAAAGATGAACCATAAAATTCATGCTATTACTTTAAATTTAAATTTTTACTTTAAATAGCAAATTTCTAAAAAAAAAAAAAAAGTAAGTCAAGAGAGAGAGACTGCGGAAGAAAGGAAAGCTTTATATTTGGTACCTGTAGTGGTACTTTCCCCCTGCTTTTTGAACAAGGGGCCCCACAAATTATGTGGCTGGCCTTAGTGGTGGGGTGGTGGGTAGTGACATTAAGTGACGGAGACTTCACATTTCTAGGAGATAGATCAGGAGGCCCCTATTTCCCTGTAATTGAAAGTAACATATTCCTTTTGGGTTTGATTATCTTTTTTATTTCTCCCTTCCCACAACCAGTATAAAAATACAATTAATGCAGATACAAGGATCCAATTTTTAAAAATCAGAGTGCAAAGAGGGCCAAAGCCCCACCCAGGTTTAACTTACATATTTACAGGGTGTGTGGCACAGGTGTGGCTACAGAGGCACACTGAAAAGGTGGTATTACAAAATATACAAAGACAGTCTTTATATTTCATAGTAGAACCTGGCCTTATTTCCAAATGAGAGCACTATAGAATACAAATCACACTACTATTTACTATATAACTTATGAAAAACGCTGTACAAGTGTGTGACCATAAATAGAGAGTATAAATGGCTCTGTTTGGGAATTGGTATCTACATGGGGGAAGGTCGGGGGAGGGCTCAGTTTGTTTCCCCAACCTGTTAGGATGATGGATAAGCTAGGATGGGGAGGGAAGGGTCTAGAGTGTGGCTGCACGAATCTCCCTTTCTCAGACTTGATCGAAGATCACTCAGTCTCTGGGGAGAATTGGAACTCCTTAGGGTGAGGAGCAGTGGAGGGAAGAGGTATAACTACAAGAAGAGGCTCTAGAAGGCACAGAGAAGGCATCTGGGGCAAGAAGGAACACATCCCTTGGACTCATGGACACACACAGACCCCTACTGCTACTTGATGACCACAGTTCTGTGGGCAGTCCAGCATGCCCTGGTTTCTGCCCTTAGAGAGAAGGAAATCAACGTTCATCTATCTATGGGAGAATGTTTGGAAAGAGGTTCTGGCTTGGACGGATAGATGGATGGATGGAAGCTGACCACCAAAAGCTGACTCAGTCATCTTGCACAGGGAGCACACAGGCAGAGAGAAATGTAGAACTGTTCCATACTCAGGTGCTGCCTGGGATTCAGGTGACAGCAGTGGAGGGGACTTAGAGAACCTGTATATCTTATTCCAAAAGACTCAACAGGGATGGGTTTTTATCTGACCAAGAGAGCAGCAGTAGGCTTTAGCCACAACGTCTGTCAATTTGGCCTCTAAGTTAGTCAGATTAAAAAGAATGAGGTCCTTTGGGTAGATAAACTATCTCCTCAAATGTTCCCCATTCCCTAGCTCTCATCCTACAACTGCCCAGCTCAAGAACAGGACCACTCTCTTCTTAGGAAGACAGCGCAACAGGTGAGCCAGAGTTCGTCCTGAACCTCCCTCTGTAGCCCAGATGTGGCTCCCATCTCGGAAACTTGAGAGCACAGCAGGTAAACTGCTTGGACTAGCTATACCTGCTCAGGTGACTTGCGGAGCACTGGGAAGTGGGAAAGACCCCCACCTGTGGTCTTCTCCAGGTCTCCAAACAAACACATTATTTCCCCTGAACTGGGCTGGTCTGGGGCAAGGACGCCTGGGAGCAGCTGCTCTTGGTTGAAGCCAGTCTTTGCTATAAGAGATGTCTGAGCTTTATCACAATAAAGAAAAGCATACGTGTATGTATGTCACCTTTGAGAACCTTCCATAAATTCCTCCCTTGGGGCTTTTCCTTTGGAAGAGGATGGTTTGAGTCTGAAAATAAGTCCTATCAGCCAACCCAGCTGTGTGCAGGGGCGGGTGAGATCATCTCTTCTGGCCAGGTTTCATTGTCTAATTCTCTTTCAGTGTCGTTCTGCGCCTTCCTGGGAGGGGAAGACCCAGGGTGCAGGGGCTGAGATGAAACTACTATGCAGGCTGATATACTGGGTGAAGGGAAATGAGAGTGGGGACTGATGTCAAATCCATTTCTTGATGGGAAACAAATCCCCATGAGATGGACAAAGGCATGTAGAACTAGGAGTGTGAGCATGTGGGACTTGAGGCCCCTCCTCCCACCTCTGGGCAGCCCCTACAAGGCTGTGAGGCTGGAGACGGTCTTTGTGCCCAGGGCATCCACTTCAGACTTGGGGACTTCGTCCTGCGGCTCTCTGCTCATGGCCATGTTATCAAAGGCCTGGGGGGCCTTGATGGGGATATCCTGCCCCTCCTCCGGGTCCTTGCAGCACTTGCTGCAGCGGCAGCAATTGGGACAGCCGCACAGCAGACAGCAGGCACGGCAGCAGACGCGGCAGCAGCAGCAGCAGCGTGTCTGGCAGCAGTCGGTGAGCTGGGAGATCAGGTTGTCCCAGGGCTTCAGCGAGTGCATCCACAAGGGCAGGAAGTTCCAGTTCTGGAGCTTCCTGGGCAGGATGCGTGGGCAGCGGGACTGCAGGAGCCTGAGGGCCACCACGAGAAGAAGCACGAAGATGATGGGCACTCCCACGCCCACCAGCACCGGCCAGCCGGCCAGGGAGAGGCCAAACACTGCCAGCGGGACCAGGAAGAAGAGGAAGATCAGGTAGAAGATGGCAAACCAGCGGTACTTAGCTGAGATGTTGCCCAGCCCCTTGGCCAGGCGGATGGGCAGGCGGGTGAATGGGATTGGGTACCACAGCAAGATGCCTGAGATGTTGAAGAAAAAGTGGCACAGGGCAATCTGAAACACAAGAGGTTGGACAGGTGAGTGGGTCTGTGGCGTGGTGGGGGTGGAGAGGAGGGCTTCACCAGGCAGGCATCAGTAGCAGAGTCACGGGGCTTCCTTGACTTCTTAGCTCAGCCCAGAGTGAGACCTGCATTACCTGAGGACCTACTATGTGTCTGGGGACAAGAGGAGGGAGGGCAAGGGAGGTGACCTGCTGAATCACAGCTCAATTTTCAGAAGTCCTTTAGGCAAAATGACCCTCATGAATGCGCCCACTGCCACCCAGTGTCTTGGACCTGCTGCTTTCAGCTGGGCGGTTGAGAGCTGGTGGCACAGAAGGAAAAGGCTCACAGGATAGCTGACTTTCTTGGCTCAATGGGAGAGTGAAGGAAGGATGGGTACAGCTAACAAAAAATAATAGCAGCAGCAACTGATGTTTATGGTGTGTTTCTTATGTGCGAGGCAACTGTTCTAGGCACTTTACGTGAATTACTTCAATCCTCAAAAACTATCCTATGAGATGGCAATGTTCATAATCCCCATTTGATGGAGGGGGAAACTGAGGCACCATGAGGCTAAACTATTTTCCCAAAGTCACATAGGTGGCAGATGGTAGAGTGGGATTCAAACCCAGGTGGCCTGGCTCCAGCGGCCACGCACTGTGCCACTTCCCTATGTGTGCCAAGTGGGGGCCAGGCATCATGCTGGGGACTTGGGACCAGCCTCGTACAATACACTAGCCACTAGCCAGCCACGTATGGCAACTGAGCACTTGAAATGTGGCTGTTCCACATTGAGATGCACCGTAAGTGTAAAATACACACTGGATTTCAAAGACTTAGCCCAAAAAAGAATGTAAAATATCTCACCAATTTTTTTATATCGGTCACATGTTGAAATGACAATGGGTTAAGTCAAACACGTTATTAAAATTGATCTCCCTGTTTCTTTTTACTTTTTAAAAATGTGGCTACTGTGCCCGGCCTGGTGGTGTAGTGGTTAAGTTCGCCTGCTCTGCTTCGGGGGCCCAGGGTTCGCAGGTTCGGATCCCAGGCAGAGACCTACACACCACTTATCAAGCCATGCTATGGCGGCATCCCACATACAAAATAGAGGGATATTGGCACAGGTGTTAGCTCAGCAACAATCTCCCTCAAGCAAAAAGAGTAAGATTGGCAACAGATGGTAGCTCAAGGCTAATCTTCCTCACCAAAAAATTAAAAATTTAAAAATAAAAATGTGGCTCCCAAAAAATTTTAAATTACATGGGTGGCTCAGATTTATATTCTGTACTCACATTATATTTCTGTTGGACAGCACGACTTCAGATAGTTCCCCATCAGATCTTTATAATAATCTTAATGAGATAAGGATCATGGTTCCCATTTTTCAGACGACAGAATTGATGCTTGAAGGTTAGGTCATCTGCCTAAGGTCACTTAGTGTGTAAGTGGTGGGACAAGGATTCAAATACCAAAAGTCTTCTTGCCCAAGGTCACCTACTTGATCCAGGCAAGGCAGGTTCCCGATTTTTCTTGTAATGCCAGGCCCAGGCCACAGGCGACCTCCTAATGTCCAGGCAGAGTTCCCCAAGAGGGGGCAAGGTGACAGGAAGTGGTGTCTATGCTTTCCACCTCTATCAAGTGGCCACCCCAAGTTTGTTTAAATGACCACCAGGGATGGGAGTCTCACTACCTCTCTGAGGGGCAGATGGCTTTCACTGTTCTCAAATCTGTCTCCCCATGGCTTCTCCTCCACATCACAGTTTTGACATAACAGAACAAAGCTTGACTCTCGTTAGAAACCACCTACTTGCAATAACGCGGATGGGGTTGAATCCCACCCCCAGAGCCCCTGCCCCGTGCAGCATTTCCTGACCTGGAGTGAGCTCTTCAACGTATTCCCTGGGCTGGCTAAGGAGGCTAGAATGGCGGTGGTGGTGGTGCCGATGTTGGAGCCCAGCGTGAGAGGATACGCCCTCTCAATGCTTATCACACCGATACCTGGAGGAAAAAGACAAAGCCCATGGCATCAGCCCCAAGGGATCATGGACGATGGCAGTGGCGGCCAGAAGAAGCCAGGGAGAAACTCACCAATGAGTGGGGTCAGAGCAGATGTGAACACAGAGCTGCTCTGCACGATGAAGGTCATGCCGGCCCCCACGAGGATGGCCAGGTAGCCAGTCACCCAGCCAAAGGGAAAGGGGAAATCTGGAAGACAGAAGCAAAATAGATCTGTTATAATCCTTCTAGGGAAGGTGTGGATTGGAAGCCCACCTGGCCCCTCCACAGGACCCAGGGGGCTGGGCTGGGCTCGAGGATTAGGTTGTATAGATGCCTCCCCACCCCACACCTGAAATGGCAAACCGGATTTTCAGAATCCTTTTACCCTGCATGTGATTATGAAGACAAAAACACATACTCACTGGAGGTCAGAGGTGAGAAATGCTGAACCCATCTCTTATGGACTGAATGTTTGTGTCCCCCCAAATTCACACATTGAAACCTTAACCTCAGTGTGATGGCATTAGGAAGTGGGGCCTTTGGAAGGTGATTAGGTCACAAGGGTGGAGTCCTCATGAATGGATTAGTACCCTCAGAGAAGACAGCTTGCTTCCCGTCCACTCTCTGCTCCCTGTGAGGACACACTGAGAAGGCAGCCATCTGTAAATCAGGAAGTGGGTCCTCACCAGAACCTGACCATGCTGGCACCCTGATCTTGCACTTCCCAGGCTTCAGGACTGTGAGAAATTAATTACTGCTGTTTAAGCCAAACAGGCTCTGGTAATTTGTTTCAGCAGCTGAACTGACTGAGACACCACCCAGATAACCACCCTCCTCCCCAAAGCACTGGGAACACTTGGACCTCCATCCTTCCTCCTGCCCTGGTCTCCCGACACGGCGCACCCTCTCCCTTTGTTTCCACTTAAAGGAGCCCTGAGGAAATGCAGCAGTTCAGGAGCCCTGCGAACCCAGCCCTCTGGACCACAGGCACAGGACCAGGCCCTGCATCCCCGGCCCTGCATCACCCAGAGCCACTCAGCTCTTCCTAAAGACAACCTTCTGACAACCCTGGAAGGTAGATATTGTTGGCCCTGCTTCACTGAGATTTCACAGAGGAGTGATGTCCTCGGCTAGGTTCGCTCTCATTGGCCAGGACGCCATACTCAGCAGGAGCTCCTCTTGGCCAGTAGAGTCGCAGAGGCTGCCTCAGGATGCTGATGTATTTATCCAGAACCACATTTTCTTCCCAAGAGTCAGAGGGAAGTGGGGACCACAGTGGGCATCTGTCACCCTTTTTCCTAAGGGATCCTAACAGACCCAGTAAAGTCCTGAGCATATAGGAAATCTTCCAGGAAGGAAGACCACCTCAAAGCTCTCTGGATTTGAGCTAGCTCTTTCTCAGGACCTTGCAAACCTGCAAGGGAAGCTTGTGCCCACTCCCCAGGCTCCTCTCAAGACACCAAGGAAGATTTCAAGGGTGAATGGCATCTTAATTTCTGCAGCTTATCAGATCCAGAGAGAAACTCCCATGCAGAGGCCATTGCTAGAAGCGAATCTAAAGGAGCCCACCCTGGGGTGGCCACAGCGATGTCACCCCCTAGAAGGACCAGAATGAGGGACAGTGCACCTACCAGTGTTGAGGGTCTTCTTGATGACAACTGCTACCTGCCCCTGGAGCACGGAGCCCAGGAGCTTGACGATGACGATCAGGCAGCCACAGAGGACCAGCAGGGAGATGATCAGCAGGATGATGCCAACAGCAAGATCCGGAAGGCTGGAATTCACAAAGATGTGCTGGCCTGAAGAGAGTAGGAAAAGCCCCTGTTAGGAGGATGTGGGGCCCCCTGAGGCCACAGATTCTTATTTATTCTCCAACATTCTCCTGTCTCATAGTAAGAGAGTCTTGGTTTTAGCTTGACCCAGGGCAGCCCCAAATAGAGCTCACGCTTCCCAGCTTCCCTTGCAGCTAAGGGTAGCCCTGAGGCTGTGTTCTGCCAGTGGGATCGCCTGAGGCTGGAAGACGAAGTGAAATCTAAAATCACACAACTAGTCAGGGGCAGATCCAGGCCTCCCACCCCATTCTTCTATCTCTAAATCCCATGCTGTGTTTTACTCATGATACTGAGGATACTCACAATAAAGTTACTGTCAAAGGGATATGGAAGTACATGGAGAAGCACTCTGGAATCTGTCGACGAGTTCTCAGATGGTACGGAACTGCCAGAGGAACTGGGCTTCCAGTACTGCTTCTGCCCTTTACCATGGGACCTTAGGCTTGGCACCTGTCCCCTAAGCCTCAGTTTCCTCCACTGTGAAAACACATAGCTCATTCCCCGGTGCAGAGTTGGTGCTCAGTGAACCTTACTGCCCTTCTTTCCATCACTTACTGGGGCTCCACACAGAGAAGAAAGCCCCACCACCACCCGAGACAGCCCGACTGGGTGGCTGACACTCTACCGAGTTCCACTCACATTTGGCAATGTTCTTCTGGTAGGTCACGTTCTTGATGGTCCAGGTGTAGTTGCCATCCATCCAACAGAGGGAAGGGGAGGTGCAGTTCTCACCCGAGGGGATGGTGACATTCATCGGCGTCTGGGTTGTAAACATGAGAAATGGTATATCTAGTCCAGCGTGCTCACTTTTGGTGGGGAGTGGCAGACAACGTGGGGAACAGTAGGGAGACACATATTGATGTTTGCATCTATAAGCGAGATGCACTGCTTCCAAGGGTCCTTCCATAAATGGAAACCGAGAGGCAGCCAGAGATAAGCCAAGAGCCATGAAAATGATGACAACCCAGAAATAACGTATCCATGGTGCAGGGTGGGGCAAAAGGGGGTCTGTTTGTCCTACTGCATTCTGTCTGTCCACCCAGCATTCAACAACTTGTTTCCTTAAGGATTCTCACTGGCCCATTTTGATTTTTCACATGTCCTTAATTTTCCTTTCCCTTATCTTTTATTTGCCCATTTTCCCACTTTGAATGAAAGGTTTTGCTTAAAGTATGCCAAGAATTCACCCACCCAGTGATGTTCTTAGAAACTTACCATGCTGGTCAAAGTTTTGCACCAAATCTTGATCAGACTCTTGTTTTTGGCTGCTTCGTCATTCAGTGCAACTTGGTTGATAACATCTTTATCCAGCTGAGAAAGGCAATAGACAGAAGAGCGTGTCCTCAGAACTGAGGTGGGGCAGAGCATGGGGGTTGCTGTTAAGAGGGGCTCTGAGGACATGAACCTGACTGCGAGCCCCTGCAAGAGTGAGTTGGGACTCACTATCTGCACTCCCAGGGTGGAGCACAGCACAAAGACATCAGCAGGTACTTGATAAATAAATGGTTGTATGAACACGGACTGGTACCTAGGAAGCAGACGGTAGATATTCACTGGTAGAGCGAATGGCAGAGAAAACCAGAAGGTAACCAAGCAGAGAAAACCAAGCTGGCCCTTTCTCCCCAGGCCGCATCCACAAAGCCTTCTTTCATTTATTTCACTTATATGGACAGACTGGTGACCAGAGGGGTGAGATGGAAGGAAGGACGGGAAACTTCCTCTTTGGCTGGGAGTAGGGTAATCTTTTATCAAGTAGCCCACTGATGCTGAGGTTAGTAGTGGGAATAAAGTGGTCCCAAGTGTCCAATGGAGAGTCTTTGAGTCTTGAGAGGCACTCGCCATCCCCCACCCCGACTCCAATAAAGATGACACGTGTTGAAGTCAAGGAAACCAAAAAGGCCAATGACTCCCCAGTGTCTCTGAAGTTCTGCGCCCCCCGCCTTGGCCTTTTTCAGAGGCCACCAAAGAGCCATGTTTATACTCATCCTTCTCCACCATCTCTGCCCCTCTGAGGAGGGTAGGGGAAGGGGGAGGGAGTTAGCTCCCTTCCCTGTCTGAACGAAGCTGGTTACCTGGACTATGAGCTTTGTGAAAGGATCTGTGATAACTTTCAGAAGTGCTGGGGCATCTTCTCCATTCTTGAAGTTGAAGCTGTTCACCACCAGGTTGGTCAGGATCTCCAGATAATGGGTGGCGGCTTCCAGGGGCAAGAGCACCAACACGGAGAGCCAGTTGAAGAAGTCGTGGACAGTGGCCCCCGCAAAAGCCCTACAGGAGGGGAACCCCACCCCAAGCCAATGGCCAGGTTAGTCAAAGGGCAAGTGGGCACCAGTCTAGGTAGGTCATTACTTGTATCATCTGCCAGGTGTCACCTGTGTACACAAGTGTGTACAATCTCAATTCGTCCTCACAGCAATCCTCAAAGTGGGTGGTATTAATATGCCCATTTGACAGAGGAGGAAATTGAGGACCAGCAAGCATAGAGGAGTTGAAGACCACTGCAGGGGCACTGGGTCCAGGATCCTTGTCTCCCACTGCCTGGCAGAGCCTTTCCCACCAATCAGACAGCACTCAGTGCTCTCCTCTTGGGAAAAAAGGAACTAGCCACGTGACAGCTGCAGCAATTAGCTCCATGACCACTGTTTGGAAGGAGTGCATCAAAACCACTTTTGACTCACACATATCGAAGACACCCTTCCTTTGGAAAGGTGGGGACCAGGATGATGGTCATCGTCAAAGCCCTCTACACACCTGAATTCTGAACCCTTTTTTAAAGATCTTGAGACTCTGATGATACATTTGAACAGTCTCCACAAGAAACAAGGCTAGTATATACCACAATTTTCTTCTATCTGAGAAAATTCACAGGTTCTCCCTGAATTCCATCCTTCTGTCTCCAGATTAAGAAACTCTAGTCGTTTTCCTTAATGAAGAAATTTTCCTTTTATAAACATCTGCAGGGTGCAGCAGTTAAGTGCACACATTCCACTTCTCGGCAGCCTGGGGTTTGCCGGTTCAGATCCCGGGTGTGGACATGGCACTGCTTGGCATGCCATGCTGTGATAGGCGTCCCACATATAAAGTAGAGGAAGATGGGCATGGATGTTAGCTCAGGGCCAGTCTTCCTCAGCAAAAAGAGAAGGATTGGCAGCAGTTAGCTCAGGGCTACTCTTCCTCAAAAAAAAAAAAATTAAATTAAAAATAAAATTAAATTAAAAACATCTGCATGTCAAAAAACACCCAAAACCAAATGGGACATGGGATATGAACAGAGAGAAGTTAATAAAACATGTGAGAGAGAATGCTTAAATTCTCTAGTAGTAAAAGAAATTTATTTGTAATTTATTTATTTGTGAGTACAAACTTTCACCTACCTTATTAGCTAATATTTTAAAAAGTAACTTTTTCTTCCTAGAGAGAATGATTTAAGACTTTTTCATACAATGCTGATGTAAAGTGACACAAATACTTCTTAGCAGTTTGGCAAAATGTTTTAAGAGTTTTACAGCTGTTTAATATAGTAATTATTGTTCTAGGAATCTGTCTAAGAACATAATCCAAACCACCAGGAAAGAAAGATACACATTACCTAAGAAGTTACTGAAAGCAATCTATTTAGAGAGCCCAAACCAGGCGAGCTAGGTCAGTTATATTCCTCTGTGTAGGCACCTTCATAGATCTTACTTTTATATCTCATAGGTTATCCAGAGGCAAAAGTTAGTGTGAAAAGACCCCAAAATCTAAAATAAGAAAACCTGGATTGAGTCCCAGCCATTCCCCTCAGTGAAGTTACTTAATCTCTTTGCATTCCTAGATTTATAAGATGGGACATAAAAAAGCCTACTCAAAGGCCAGCCCTGGTGGCCTACTGGTTAAATTCAGTGGCCCAGGTTCGGTTCCCGTGCACGGACATATACCACTTGTCTGTCAGTGGCCACACTGTTGTGTTGGCTCACATACAAAAGGAGGAAGATTGGCAACAGATGTTAGCTCAGGGTGCATCTTCCTCAGGGAAAAAAAAAAAAAAGCCTGCTGGACTTCTTGAGAAGATCAAATTCGCAAGCGCCCTGGATAACGTGTATTATTGTTGTGACACTTGGGACATTGTATCAGGGACCAAAGGAGGTCAGCCGCGCCTCTGGGGCAGTGAATGTCTCTGCAGACATCTGCTGCCTCCAAATCACCAACGCAGGAGGGACGATGTTTGCTAGCCCCCCCTACCAGCCTGTTTGACGCCATCTGCCTGACCCGCACAGTGAGCACATCTTGTGGACACCCTGGTAACTGCTTCTGCACTTTAATAAGCTCTGCAAAAAGTGCCTCACCCGTTAGAAGAGAGGCTTCCCCTTGCCTATATCCAACCCGCCCCATTTTCAGATCTTACGCATCCACAAAGCTACATTTTGCCTTTTATTGGCATGCAGTGAAGAACAAAGAAAAAGTGGCCTGGATTCAGTTGGCCAAAAATGGAAGCTTTTGGAGGTTATAATTATTTATGACTAAGTGGGACAGAAAATCCTATCCCAACTGGGCTTGTTTTAACTACACCGGCCTGTAGGTAAGCTTCTAGCGAGGGCTTGCCAAGCACCTTGCTAATCATTTACCTGTATGGTTGTGTTTAATCCCTTAGACAACACAGTGGTGACAGATACTATTATTATCCCTGCCATGCACACCAGGGAGCTGAGTTTAATTGCTGGTAAGTGTGTGATCCCAGCCCCTAGCTGTATTCCACTGCGGTGACTTCTCTACGATCCAGGAATGACAAGCATATTCTTACTCGCTAGTTAAAGGTAGTTACAACAACCTGGCCAAACCGATGCGCCTGATGGTGGCAAAGGCTGGTTCTGAGCCTCCTACCTTCTGAATTCATTCCGGTCTCCTGCCTGCATGAGCGCCACGATGGTGTTGGTGATCGAGGTCCCAATGTTGGCCCCCATGATGATGGGGACGGCAGTCCGCACTGTGAGCACTGGAGCATGGGGAGAAGACGAGGTCGGCAAGTTAGCAAGTTTAGGGAGGCAGCCTGGCTGGGTTCCTGACATTCCTTGTTCAGGCTGGCAGTTCCCTAAAGTAGCAGTTCTTAACCTCTTTGAGGTCTGTACCTCGCTCGCTGTGAATCTGATGAAAGCTGGGGCAGCTCACCGTAGAAATATTCACGTGTACCACCCCCAAAATTTCCAGTGCCTAATTTCAGGGACTTCACAGACTCCACGAAGCCCTTCCGTGGATCCCAGTTTAAAAGTGCCTTTCTAAATCCCTCTCTCCTCCGTGTGACAGAGGCCAGGGCAGCTTAAGGGAGACGAGGACTAGTGTGTTTATTACGGCAAATTCTTGGCAGTACGATTTCTTTTTCTAACAAAATTAGTATATTGCCACAATGTTCTGACACATAAATGTAACGTATTTTGAAATGATATCTTATTCTAATTTGGCCCATAAAAGGTTCTAGTTAATGTGGGCTAAAATGCTGGTTTGGGCTGAAAATTAACCAGCTCAAACTGGTCCCCCTCAGGGGGTTCTGTCTCAGTTCAGCCAGAATAAATATCAGGTAGGTTCAAGTTTGGAATGCCAACTGCCAAGCTCAGTTTTTTGTTTTGGTGAGGAAGATTGGCCCTGAGCTAACATCTGTGCCAATCTTCCTCTATTTTATATGTGGGACGCCACCACAGCATGGCTTGATGGGCAGTGTGTAGGTCCATGTGTGGGATCTGAACCCACAAACCCTGGGCTGCTGAAGCAAAGCATGCAAACTTAACCACTATGCCACCAGGCTGCCCCCAGAATTTTATATTTTAAATTAAAATCAATTAAGGTTAAATGCAATTAAATAGCTACACGTGGCTAGTGGCTGCTGGACTGGACAGCACAGTTCTAGATAATTCAGAGCTGACTCTTCAAATACTGGGTCTATTATCAGACTCAGCTATGGAAATGGAAACAGGAGGCTGCCTAGGATCGAAAGTGGAATATATCACAGTTGGACAAGATAGGAAGCTAATGATGACAAGCCTGGACATATTCAGAGTAACTCCCAGGCTCCCCAGTTGGACAGAGAAATGGCTGGAATGCATCTGGACTCGTGGGTGCCTAAACTCACGTGAGGAAGCCACCATGCTGACAATGATGGACGAGGAGGTGCTGGAGCTCTGCACCAGGACGGTCACCAGCACCCCAATCACCAGCCCCGCCACAGGGTTGGACATAATAGAGTTGTTGCTGAAGAACTGCCCGGCCACCTTTCCTGAAAAACAAACCCATGGCCACATGATGGGGGTTGGGTGGGTGCAGGGTACCTAGAAATCTCCAGCCACGCTGGTACCCATGACATCCTCCTTTCTCATGCTTCTTCCCAGCGCTGCACTGATGCCGTATCTCCACTTCTTTGACCTAGCTGCCCCTACCCCCCACTCTTTGTTCCACTTGTCCCTTCAACCTCCTGTGCTTCTCCCATTCCACCAGCAAGCCCTCCTCCAGCCTTCTCTGGTCATGAACATGGCCTTGACTCTGTACTTGGCCCGACGAGTATCAGTGAACCTCCTAACGCCCTAATTCTCTTCTCTGGGATATACCCCAATTCAGAAGGTTTATCCTCCAGGAGTGGATCTCCTCATTCTCCTCTATCTACTCCCTAACCCCCAGCCCCAACTGCATCCTGTAAGCGAATGCTGGGAGCATCATTTTGAGAGTGTGCCTCTGAGACCATCAATTTATTCCCCAATCCATTTTATATAAAGACTGAGGCCCAGAGAGTCAAGGTGTCTTGTCTGAGATAGTCAGAGAGCAAAGACCCTCACTGATGCTACCTGAGAACAGGGCGACTAGAGGTGGCTTCCAGGAAGTCAGTCCCCCCTCACGCTCCAATAAGTGCTCCCCTCCCCAATTCTCCCAGGTCAAAAAGATGAGTTCTCAAGAGAGGCACCAAGGGATGTGGAAATCCATGGTCTGTCTTCTGTGTCACGTGGATCTGAGTTTGAATCTCACTACATCAGTTACAGGCTATGAACCTTGTGGGGCCGGGCAGTGATCTCTGAGCCTCGGTCCTCTCCTCTGTAAACGGGAAGGGCTTTGGAAAGGAATGTTTAAGACAGTGCCACTGAAAATGCCTGCACCCAGCAGGCACTCAAAGTGCTGGCTATCACTGTTGTCACCCATTTTGGGTACAAAGGTGGACCAAGTACTTCTGGGTTCCCCTCATACTGCATAGCCACACTTAGTCCTGGGAGATGTTTAGGCAACTGCTATGGATGCAGATTCCCCCAGCCCAGGGACCCATGTCCTTCTCCCGCAAAGGACCAGCTCTGAGGTCACCTTGGCCTAAGAGAACACCCTTATCCAATTATCTCCTCTCCACTTAGGGTGGGGGGCCCAAAGATGGCAGGGAATCCCTTTGATAAGTCTTTGTGTCGATCAGCTTCCTGTCCAAGGTTTGTGGACAAACACAAGGGGCTGATAGTTTGGGACTGGCTCCTGGCCTCAGCCATCTCAGCCAGTCATAGTCCTTTTATAGGTGTCCATTTTGTCTTCTTTAAAATGGGGGCATAGGCTTCACCAGATGTTCCGAGCTGGCTTCCAGCCCTCAAACACCCCAGGAGGCTGCAAGTGGAGAGGGCTTGCTGCATCGCAATGGTCTGAGCCAAATTCAATAAGAACTCCCCCAACCCTGACCTTGACCTTTTCCTCCATACCTCCAACCAGCTGGAAGGCGCTGCTGAGGACATCCAAGGAGCACACGAACAAGTAGAGAAACCCCAGAAGCAGGATGAATTTGCCAATCCCTTGGAAGACACAGAGAATCTTCCCTCTGGTGTCTCTCTCTGGAGCAGAGGAAAAAGCACAAATGCTTTTAAGTGTTGAAACACTGAGAAGTTTGGCAATGAGCTCAGAACTCCCCCACCCCACCTCCTGGCCAGGCAGCTGTAAATTTACGTTCTAAGGCCTAGAGATGGGACGCAACCACGCAACCACTTCCTAGGCTGCAGTTTTCCAAGCAATTACCACTGTCGTCCATTTAGCTGAAAACCCTGGTGAAGGGTATCTAAAGGATTTGCATTTGGGAGGAGAGGTTCAGTGTCGCCTGGGGCACAGACAGGCAAACCAGGCTCCAGGCTCAGCTGAACCAGGGTCGCTGAGTGTGGCAGTTAAGACATCTTGCCATCTGCTAAGTGAGGGGTCAGAGATAAAGGCCCTCCTAAGCCCCTTCAGAACAGGACAGAATATTTTCTAGAATGTGCCTGCAAGGTAGCAATCACAGCCTCCCTCTGGGGAGGGCTTGGGCCCTCACACATCCTGGAATGCTACATCCTTGGCTGCTGCTTTCTCCACTCGCTTTTAAAGTGGTTCTCACCTCCTGCCTCCCAGCTCCCTTCCCCACCCAGCTGTGGATTCCACAGACTTGACACCCTGCACCTGGAAAAGAAATGCAGGGTTTGCTTGCAGCCAGCTGTTCTGCCTGTACCTTCTCTATCTTCTGGGAGCCTGCCCTGGTGGCTGCGTTTAGGTAAGGGGACCCCCCCACCCCCCACCTTGGAGCTCTCAGAGCAGGGGCCTTGTCTGCTCACTGCTGCATCCAGGGCACCTTGATGGTACCCGGGGCCTGGTCAGCATGCGATGCATTCTAAGGAGCAGCACCATGCCTGGCCTGTTATAACCCCAGAGCCTGGCACCTTTGTTGAATGAAAGAAAGAACGAGAGATCCCCAGTCATTACACTGGCCTTTGACTCTAAGCCTCCCAGACAGCCAGGAGGCATCCCTAGCCAGGACCTTCGTTTGAAGGGGCAGAGAACGAGGGAAAGGGGGAGGATGACGTGAAGGAGATGACACTGAAGACAGTGAACTCCTTGCCCACAGGCAGTCCCCTCCAGCCTACCCCAGCCGGACTCATTTTTACCCGACCACTTGATCCCCGTGTTCTGAAGCGCCGGCAGGTCCCAGGGGTCTTCCACCTCTGTAGGCTCCCCTATCAGTGTCGCGGTGGAGTAGGATGGCAGCAGTTCAATCTTGGTTACAGGGGTCCCGGTGTCATCTGCCCAAACAAGCAATAAAGGCCATGAGGAATGAGGAGTCAGATGTCTCTCCCAGGATCCTCCCAGGAGGCCGGTCTGGGGCTGGATGAGCGGCACTTACTTTGGTCCTTCTCCTTGCCTTTCGCAGGTGTGGCAGATTGTTGGCTAGTGGCCCCTTCGATGTATTTATTGGAGTTGGGCTGGGCATTTTCCAACTCAGGCCAAGGAGCCATGGTCTGTGGACGGGAAAACAGAGCTTAAAGAAGCAGCCACTCAAAGGAGGCGCACTCAGTTGCCATGACAGGGAGACCCAGCGGCTGCAAGGAATTGGGAGAGTGAAGGGGGGTCGTGTTATACCTTAGAAGTGTGGCATCCTAGTGCCACATTTTATCTTCTGTAGCCCTCCCTCAACCACTCACCCAGGCTATCACTAAATCAAACCAGTTCTCAAGCGTTTTTCCATGCTAGCCTCATATCTATATAATCAGTTGAACCTCCTTTGATTTCTCTAACTTCTGTCTCAGCCTCTGTCTTGACTCTCTCCTTTATTTGAAAAGGGGATGTGAACTCATCCATCTTCATCAACTCATGGTACACCAAGTCCTCATGACCCTCCAGGGGGCCCCCATCGACTTTCCACTTCCAGGCCACTTATGAATGGGTGTGTATTTAGGTTAGCCCATTAATGCCTCTGAGCATAAAGTGTCAGTTTCCCCATCTATAAAATGGGAGTAGTTCTTCATACTTTGCAGGGTTATGAGATTGATGGTGATACCTAGAAAGTGCCTGGCGCCAAGCAGGCATCTGCTAAGTCGTAGCAGTTATTATTGCGCTATGCTGCCCGCATTAATGACCCTTCGTCAGAACGACATTCTTCCCAGCCCGCAGTAGAGACTTCCTCACAACTCATTTTCTGCACAAAGCCTTTCTTGGTTACACAGAGAGGAGCTGTGGCTCTTGGCACACCGGAAAGCCCACTCCTGACAGTCCTGCCCTTTGACGCTCGTTAGACAAGGTGGCCCAGAGGACTGGGACAAACAGTTCACAGAAGAAGTACAAGTGGCTAAAACACTTATTTAAAAATAAGTTCTGCCTCATTAGCAATCCAAAATATACATATTAAAACAGGGAGCTATCAAATTAGCAAAAAAAAAAAAAAATTTAAGTCTAATATGCTGTGCTGGAGAAGATGCTGTGAGATGCACACTGCTGGAAACGCTGGGAAACACTTTGGCAAAATGTCTAAAGTGCCTCACACTTTTCATACATCTCTGACCCAGTAATTTCACTCCTAGGAAGTGGGAATCTAGGAATATTTTTTCTCAGAAAATCAGAAATACCTGCCTTGCTCTGATCACCTCCTAGGAGAGGGCTTCCCAGAATCTGGGTCTGTCTGACTCCAGCATTTTTCTTCAATGGATCTATTTACTGCCTACCAGAATGCAGGCTCTACCAACAAAGGGGCTTTGTCTTGTTCCTGCCTGCATCCTCAGGGGCTGCGGCTCTGCCCAGTGCATTGATGATGCCCAGTAAATGTGTGTTGACCGAACAAAGGTGACACAAACCCAAAAGACATTTGCTGCACTATCACTTACAGAGTTGAAAAATAAAAATAGGAAAATTATCGTATTAACTACGGTACATCCAGGCAGTGTAACAGCATGCCATTAAAAAGGTTATAAAGAATCAGCAAAAAATAAAATAAAAGTAAGTAAAAAGTACTTTTTGGTCCCATTCACAGCTTGATCTCAATAAGGATCCAGAAATGTTCCATGCGGTTCAGAGTAGGCGGTGGGATTGTGGGTCATTTTTATTTTCTTCTACCTGTAATTTATAAATTCTTTTAAAAGATGTAGCCCAACCCCCAAACCCACAAAGGTAAGATGGCCCAGGGACACCTGTATTGTTACCATTATTCATGTTGATGAGGCTAGGGGAGGAAAAAAAGCTGATTCTGTGAGTTCCATCATGAGGGGCTTTTATGAATTTGTTTAGCCCAAGGAACTTTCTCGACTTTCCTCATGCAACCACACGGCATGGCACATAGTTGCATGATCACAGGGAAGTGGCTTCCGCAGTCACTGGCTTCCAGGAAGGCACAGATTAGGTCTTTCATTTCAGCTTAATAAGCACCCAGCCCATGGCCTGGTACACAATAGGCCTCATGTGCTTTCTGAGTAGGATGCTGGGACCTGCCCAGCCAGTGAGAGCTAATATTTATTGAGCCAGGCTGTGCTAGGCACTTCCCACAAGCTCACAGCCACCCATTCAGGGAGGGGTCATTATTCTCCCATTATACAGATGAAGCAACTCACGCACAAGGAGGCTAAGTGACTTGCCCAAGATCCCAGGTGGGAGGGCCTTGAGCCCAGGTCAGTGTGAATCCAGAGCTTTGGGTGGTGCTTTGGCTGGTTTCGAGGGGCAGGGCTGCTTCTCACATAGTACCTCCTGGAGTTGCAGTGCCTGTCACAGGTTGAACTCCTCCCTCAGGCTCAATGAAAAGCCTTTTTACACTGACAATCAAAGGCAGGGTAAAGCCTGCCGCTCCCCAGGCCTGCTGGCTGGAGCTCCTTCCTGGGCTGTGCTGAGCAGCAGCTACATGGCTGGGGCCTGGGCAGGGGAGGTGGGGTGGAGGCAGGTGGTTGAGGAGGAGAGGCCAAGGCTGACCTGGGAGACCTCCAACCTCAGCTTGAAGCTGCCATGTGGGTGAACCAGCTTGGGTTTGAAACGGCACAGAGGTTGAAAAGAAAACGTGTTTTCTGACTGTAGGTAAAGTGTCTATCCCTCTGACTCTCCCAGCACAGGCATCCTCAGCCACAGCGTCTTGGGGAAAGAAACTAACAATCTTGGAACACTCAGTTTCAGTCAGGCACTAGACTGGGTACTTTACCCAGCATAGATGTTCAGAACCAAACTCTAGCTCTGCCCCAGATGCACTGTGACCTGGGGCAAGTCACTTGACTGCTCTGTGCCTCAGTTTCCCTTATGTAGAAGGGGATTATATTAGTTTATAACCTATTGGGTCATTAGGCAACTTCAATGAGTTAATTTCTGTAAAGCGCTTAGAACAGAAATCTGTTCCATGAGTTGGTTCATGTCACTCCTCTGAGCAACCCTGTGAGGGGTTAGGGTCATTCCCATTTCACAGACGAGCAAACCGAAACACTCAGAGGGGTGAAGCCACTCGGCCTAAGTGGTAGGCGTGATTTGAGAGTTTCTCTGGCTCTGGAGTCCGTGCTTGTCTCTCAATTGTTACATGAGCTGGAACACTCCTGGAAGGAGTGAGTCATGCATTAGTAACATCAAACGTGAAATATATCTGATTAAAGGCCCAATGCTAGGCAAATGGAAAAGATGCTTCAACAATCTGATGGCAGAAGTCAGTGGCCCACTCACCGTATACAGAATCCGGGGAGGAAGTGAGTGCCGTGATCTCGGTCTTGAAGCACCTCCCACCCGATATTCGTACAAAAGCATTCGCACCTCTAGGCCTCCGATCTTCAATGTTCATGTGCCGTGTACAGAAGTCAGAACTTCAAATTCACCCTAACCTAGATCCAGCACATTTCTGTGGAACTTTGCTGCTTATGTGATTCCTGTTATCATCCTCCCAGACTCTCCCACAGCCCCCAAATCCAGCCAGCACCAGGACCTGCTGATTCTACCCCTGGTTCCCAGTGCCACCCCCCCTGGCTGGGCCTCAGCACCTCCTGTCTAGACCAACACAGCAGCCTGTTTAACTGGTTTGGTCCCCAGTGTCCACAGGGTAAATTCCTAACACCCAGCTGTGATGGTGTGGACTCCCCATCTTTTATTGCCCACTGCTCCCCAAATGATCTCTGTGCTCGGTCACACTGACCTGAAATAGGGACCCTGAATCCTCTCGGTAGAGTGCCACCTCTGCTTTTGCCCAGGCAGCCCGCTATTAGGAGACCCTCCCCCCATCTCTTTCTCTACCCCTTTTGGCTCAGCCCGAGCCCTCCCTCCCCTTCCGCCTGAGTTCCCCCCGATTCTCTGGTCTTGCCCTTCACACCCCTTGCACGTCCTACCCGTGTGACTCATTTGGCACTGCACCACACCGCACTGTGACATCCTTTAATTGATTTCTAACAACAACAACTACCATTTAATGAACACCAGGCGCTGTGCTTGTGCTCAGCACATATTATCTCCTTCAATCTTTATGCAAGAAAGGGGTCATGACCATCTCCATTTGCACATGGGACACCCTCGAGCTCAAAGAGATTAAGCAACTGATTCAAAGTCACCCTGGAGGTGAGTGACAGAGCCAGTTTTTAAACACAGCTCTACCTGTCAGTGAGGTTGGGGCCCTTATTCCCCAACATCCTTGGCCGTGACATAAACATACCTTCCTGGAGCTGATTTTATTCACATAATCGGGGAAAAGGAATATTAAATAATGTGACTGGTAGATAATTTACATTTGAGATGCGATATTTACAAGGTGCAAACTGTTTCTCAACTTTGGCTCTACTGACATTTGGGGCCAGAAAATACTTCGCCATGGCGGCCTGTCCTGTGCTTTGTAGGATGTTTAACAGCATCCCTGGCCTCTGCTCACTGGATGCATCTCTGGCCCCCTCAGCCTTAGTTGTAACAACCAAAAATGTCTCCAGACATTGCCAAATGTCCCTTAGGGACTGAGAACTACTGGTCTAGAGGTTAGAAGGCTGGACTTTAGCTCCCAGCTGCCTGGGTTCAAGTTTCAGCTCTGCCGTTTCCTGTGTGACTTTGGGCCAGTTCTTTGACTCTGTTTCCGCATATGTCAAATGAGGATACTACCTAGGAAAGATTCTTGTGATGGTTAAGTGTGTTTTGTTTTGAGTTCTCATAACAGTGCCTGGCACATGTAAACCTTGTGGTTATCAGCTATCATACTAAAATAAGCAGGGACATATTATAGTATAGAATGCAAAATTTATTTAAATTTATAAAAAACAAAAATTGCTTTGAGCTTGCAATGGGCTGTTCTGGGCTACTCAAACCCCAGAGGTTCATATACCTGACTCTCCTTCTCTGGGGGCAATTTGAAAGAAAAATTTGAAAATTGTGACTTTGCATCACCTCTCTTTTCTCATGATCTTAATTAATTCTAGAATTGTTCTCCTATCTCACACACATTTATACTGCCTTCCCAATTGGAATTTAAGTTTTTGAGGGCAGGAGCCATCTGTTATTCTTTTTCTTCCAGTGCTCAGTAGACTGCACACAGTAG